GAAAACAATTCTTATTTTATTTGATTTTTTTTGTGTTGTGTTTGTCTGGGATGTGTTTGGAGATTGTTTACCCACAGGTGATTGCTCCATTGGATTCTGCTGTGAGTAGTTTTCACTCTTTGGCCAGTAATGGCCAAGTTGGGACTCTGAAGAGAGTTATGAGTTTTCATTATTATCTTTTTTAGCATTCATTAAGTATCCTTTCTGTATTCTTTAGTATAGTAAGTATAGCATTCTTTAATATAATACAGTATAATAAAATAATAAATTAACCTTCTAAAAACATAAAGTCAAATGCATCATTCTTGCCTTCATTGGGGTAACCCCTGCAAATACAATAACACCCTTAACAGAGACTGCAGGATTGGATACTGATAGAGACACTCAGTTAAAATAGTTCTGCCAAATGGGAATTGTTTGACTTAAGGTAGAATGTATTGACTTAAACCTGTGCTCAGTCTTTAAATAGGCCTCACACTCTTGATTCAGGTGTACAATCAAAGAAAGAATAATATAAAATATTTTTGAAAATAAAAATATAAATGAAAATATTTTAAGAATTAAAAATATAAATTATAAATATAAATTTTATATATATAATATTTAAAGTATTTCAAGACTCCTCAAGTCATCCTAACACCATTAAATGCAGCCTCACCAGCTCAGGCTGGCAGTGCCCCATGTCTCTGCTGGATTCCAGCACTGAGGATGTGTGAATCCAGCAGAAGCTGCTGCCAGCCCTGCCTGGGGCTGTGGGGTGGGCAGGGGGTGTGGTAGGACCACTGCCTGCATGGGGACAGCATGTCCTTGGCTACTAACAAAGCTCTGAGCTGATCCCAAGCAAATCATGGGCATTAAAATCCTCAGAAGGGGCCATTTCTGTAGTAGCAGTTAAATTATAGCCCATGCACGGCAGGAAACCAAATTAGGGCTCCGTGTGCAGTATTTACTTGGGCAATTTCACTTAACCTTGCCATCTTTTAATTGCTTTTATGTCTTGATTTAGTAATTTCTGATTTTTTTTAATAGTTCCATTTATTGAGAAGCACCACAAGAGACGTGAACTGAGTAATTTTCTGTTGCTGCTGTTTCACACTGTAATAGCAACAGAATCATCTGTAGGCAAATTCTTCAAGCAATAAATATCTGTCTGTGGTTTGGATGTTTATTATTTTCATAGCAGTTTATTTGCAGAACAGAGTACCACCTTCACAAGAACTGGAACTGATTTGCAGTCCAAGTAGTGCTTTTGGTTACCTCTAGATTTTGTAAGAGAAGAGACAAAACATAAAGTAATAATGCAGGAAACACGTAAAATGGTAATTTATCAAGTTAAAGATCTCGATTTGATTGGAGAGAGAAATGAATAAAAATTGCAAAAAGCAATATACTTCTAATGAAATATAGTTCAGAGGAAAAATTACCCTATATTCCAGGCTGTTAGTGTCATGGAACAGATAATTGAATTCCTTGCTTTCTTGTCAGTGCAGCAATATGTAACCCTGCTGAAATTCTCAGGTAATCCACAGTTTTTATGCTGATCTTCATAGTTTTTTTCTTTGAAAACTGTTGTAATTACCACTTCTTCTGTTCTTAAAAATTCTTCATAAAAAGGTTGGGTTTTTGGACTCACATCCCACAGGTAACAGAGCACAAAACCAAAACTCACTCAGAAGATGATGCAGCTTTGTGCTTTATTTCCATGCAACACTTTTTTAGAAAAGTAGAAAAGTTTATTTTGAGAGAAATGGAGCCACTTGGTACCTCATGAAGGGGAAGGAACAGAGCAAAGCTCACACATACACATTCTTCACTGTGGTGAATGGCCTGGGCCTTTTTGCAAGGTGGTAGGACCAAAATCAGTTATCAAAGGCAGTGTTTGCCATGCCAAAATCGACTTTTGGATAGCAGGAAAATGAATTAAGGAGTCAGTGATGGCAGCTGCCCATGCCAGTGCCACCCTGCCCTGTGTACATGGCAGGCAGGGGAGTTGCTCTTGCTCTCTACCACGATTTTCAGGCTTAACAAAATGCAGCACATTCTCACCAAGGAGGAGGTTGAAAAGGATTTTCAATCACCATCTCAAATTTGGCTTCAAGCTGCCATAAACTGGAATATCCTGATGTAAATTGAGAATAGTCTGCTAAGGAGGCAGTGGCACTTACACAGTTCTCTCCCCTGTCCCCATTTTAAGATTTTTTTCTTGGGTGTTTCTTTTGTTTAATGTTGTCTGTGCAGTTTTCTACAACAGTTTAACTGCTTTATTGGCAATGAGGAAGGACATTAAATCTGTTATTGCAAGTGGGGAAGAAACATATGCTCTATGCTTAATGTGCAGCTGGAAAATACACAGGAAAATAATTTTTTAAAAGCCCTTCACATTCAATGGCCTTTTATTTCTCTTCTTTTCTATATACCCCGAATAATTGCTGGTGCTTCCATGGCTGGTTAGGGGATGGTGCTGATAATGCCAAGATTGTGGGTTTGATTCCCATATGGGCCAAGATTGTGGGTTTGATTCCCATATGGGCCATTCACTTAACAGTTGGGTTTGTTGGTCCTTGTGGGTCCCTTCCAGCTCAGAAGATTCTGATTCTGTGGTTCTGAAAATGCAGCAGTGAGGGGGCAGAGATAGGAGGAGTTGCTGAGGCTTCTTGGACCTATGGCATGGACAAGCCAGAGGATCATTTCCTGCATGGAAATTTCTAGACCTCTGTGGGGTGTCTAGAAATCAAGGCACTGAGAAATCAAGGCACTGAACTTCTCTGAATCAATGGGGTATAAAATAAAGATAAATGTGAGGCACAGGAGCTCTCTAAACCAGCCCCATCACCTCTGTGATGTGGAGCTGCCCCTGACAATTCAAGCAGTGGGCAAAGCTGTGCAAAGGGATGTTTGCCCAAGAACCCTTGACCCTGCAAGGAGCTGCAGTTCTGTGCTGTGTGCTCCCCAAACACTGCAGCTCAATGCCAGCATCACTCCCTGCCTGCCTCCCATTGCTGCTCCAGTTTGGTTTAGGGAGGGTGAGACCAGCTGGGTCATTTCTGCCTATGGAAATGCTCTTTTCTTCTTCACTCCCAAATCATCTCTGGGCCCAGCATCTCATGGGTGCTTGTAACCAGGCATTTCCCAGCTAATTATCAACAAAATAATAATGAACAGAGTCTTCAATGCCCAGACTTGCATGGATTTTCTCACCTTGTAATTTGCTCAATATTCAGCAATATCAATCTTAAAGTTCAACACCAAAGCTCTGCACTCCACATTGTCCAGAAAGAAGCAAATGGGACAGGAAAACACCAAACCAGTGGGCTGCAGGAGGAAAATGAGGGGCTGGCCAGGAGCCAGGGCTCACAGTGCCTGGGCAGAGCACAGGTACCACTCCTGAGCCACTTCTGCCTTTCCACGGTGCTTTGTTGCCACCCCATGGCCTCACACAAGGCTGCAAGAATGGAACGGGAAAAGGTGCACTCTTTGAGATGTCTTGCATTTCATTAAAACCACGGAGAGCCTTTGAGAAAAGCTTCTCAGGTCAATGCCTTTTCATGTCTCTGCTTTACAGGTGATAAGTGACTTTTTTCCAGTGTGACAGCCATAATTGCAATATACACAACCCATGTATTTTATCTGTATTTAGAAGGAATTTCTCTTGTCTTTTGCAATTTCCTTCCTCAGGACAAGATGCCTGGAGGATAATGGTGTTATCAGGCCTGGGATGGTCACTAAATGGCAGTGCTGTGATGCTTGATCAATCCAGCCTGATATTCCTGTCTGCCAAGATAAGAACTGCATTTGCCCCTCACTCTGGCCCTCCTGACCACAGCAGCACATTTGCCTGGTGTGAAATAATCCCTGTCCTGTTTCAGGTATGATGTTGAACCACAGGGATGACCAGCAAGCACCCTGGAAAATCCTGACCACTATTCACACATATTTTTTTCTCTTTTCCCATTTCTTTTACTATTTCTGGAGTCTACCTTGCTCTGCCTTTCCCAATCTTTCTCAACTCCAATCCTCTCTTATTTAAATAATTCACCCCTAATTTTCTTATCCCTAAAGGTCTTGGTTTTTCCTTCATGTATACACTATCATACTTGCAGGGAATGTCCTGACAAAGGCAGGAATGATGAGTTTGACTCCATGTTCTCAGAAGGCTAATTTATTACTTTATTATACTGTATTATATTAAAGAATATTATACTAAATAATACAGAAAGGATACTTCCTGAATGCTAAAAAGACAATAATGAAAACTCCTGACTCTTTCCAGAGCCCTGACACAGCTTGGCCCCGATTGGCCAAAGAGTGAAAACAACTCCCAGCAGAATGCAATGGAACAATCACCTGTGGGTAAACAATCTCCAAACACATTCCACATGAGCACAACACAGGAGAAGCAAATGAGAGAAGAATTGTTTTCCTTTTCTCTGATGCTTCTCAGCTTCCCAGGAGAAAAATCCTGGGTGAAGGAATTTTTACAGAGAATGTGAATGCCACAATACACAGCTTTTGCATTTTTGACACTCCAACTGGGTGATACTGGAGCTGTACTGTCAGTGATGCTCTGCTGCTCTTGCAGAGCTCCCTCCAAGCACTTCAGAGATCTGGCTGTTTCCCACAGCAGTCCTGAAAGCCGGGCATCCCTCATGGTGCTCTCTGCAAGTTTTGGTGGCACCAGCACTGTGCCTGTCACGTGCACAAATTGGGATGCCACATCCCCTCATGACTTTTTCAAAGAATATCACCTCACTTCAGGGTCTAGATTTTTCCCCCTGATCATTCCAGCTGGCTTAGCCACATGAGAAGCTCTTACTGAGGTAAAAACACCGAGTGTGAAATGATTTGGAGTAAGGGACTGGGCTCTCCAGGTGTTGCTCTGGTGAAAAAGGGGGCCTGGGTCACCCCATGTCTGCTCCTAAGGGTATGAAGGACAGGGACAGGAACTGGCAGCTGCCACCTTTACTTGCTTTTGGTGGGATGGATGAAGATGCTACAAAGGGGCTGTTGGTTTTCTGGGCTGCTCTAAAGTGCTTTTTGAATCCACAGCTGGAGAACTTCTTCTGAGGGCATCACAACCACCATCAGGTCACAGTGCTCAGCTTCTTCCCTGCCCTGCAGGATCAGCTGGGTGGGGGGCTCTGATTCCTTCTGGAAAACAAATGCACTCCCTCAAACACCCTCAGGCTGCTGAGTATGGCTCCTTTTCCCCACAAGGTGTTCCTCTCATCCTTCCTGCCACAGCTGCCCAGAGAACTCACAGCCACAGAAGCAGCTAAGCTGCATTCTCACTTGAGCTGGCCATTGTCACATTTTCCCCAGGAGCTGTTGGTTGATTTCTCCTTGGCAGGCTGCTGAGAAGCTCAGAGGGGTAGCAGGGACGTGCAGCAGTGCTGGCAGTGGCACAGCTGGTGGGGTCAGGGAGCAGCTGCTCAGGCAGGGTCATCCCTGCCTCCCCAGCCCTTTCCCCAGAAGCACCAGGAGCATCTTCCCTGCCCAGGGTTGGGGGTAAAGGCAGTTCAGGGCTGCTGCATGCCTGCAGCTCAGCTCCTCACACTGGAAAGGGCAAAGCTTCCTGGCAATCTGCTTTTTCTCACTGCCCCATGCTCCTGTGAATACCCAGCATGGTAAAAACCAATAAAACACAGTAAAAAAAAAGTTACCAGTGTGTCTGGCAGGACAGCAGCAGGACAGCAGGAGTATTGGAAGATTTTACTGATTTTCCAGACAAGGAGAGGCAGGGTCAAAACTGCCACAGCAAAGCCAGCAGAGGAGATGAGGGCAGTAACCAACCACATGGATTTGTCACCTGCAAATGAGAGAGCAGCAAAACTTCCCAGAGACCCTGCAGGGAGCAGGCACTCACTGCAGCCAGCCTGGCACTCATTGCACAGCCTGAGCCCTTGTGGCTGCTCTGCCACCCACCCTGGGGACATCCCTCCCCAGCCAACCCCAGTGCCAGCCTGGGGGGCTGCACTGCTGATCCTGCCTGTTGTACCTCTGCCAAGGAACAAACACAGCAAACCAGGCAGGAGATTGGGGTGGAAACAAAAGGAAGAGCATATGTTAGATTAAGCTTTTTTTTGACTTAGAGATGGGGCAACTGAGAGGTGTTTAAAAACTTTTATTCTATTTTTATTATTATTATTTATTTTCTAAATTATTTTATAATCGAATTTTAAATTTTTAAATTAATATTTATTTTTATTCATTTAAATTACTTTTATTATAATATTATTAGAATAATTATTACAATATTTTATTAGAATATAGTCATAATATAAAATATTATAACATTATTTACAATAATTTATTATGTATTATAATAAATTAATTATATAATATATAATAAATGATATGATTTTTTATAAATAATTAATAAATAATTAGTAATTAATTAATAATTAATATAAATATGAAATATAAATATAAATAAAGTATAAATAATAACTAAAATAACTTATACTATTATTATAATAATATCATAATATTATTTATTTTTAATTTTTACTTTTAAGAATATTCTTTAATTTTAGTATTTTAATTATTTTTTAAAAATAAGTACTTTAATTGTTATTATTTATTTTATTTTTTATATTTTTTAAGTTTTCTGTGTAGAGTGAGACAATACAGATGTCATAATTCACGCCATCACAATCAGAAGCCAACTATTTCAGAAACTTACTTTAAAATTCTCTTCAAATTGATTTCCCACAAGCTTTGGGCTGGGCAGGGGGCAGGAGGGAGGGCTGGCTCTTACCCTGAGCCCTCACACACTGCGTGGGGCTGAAGCTGCTGCTCCTGTTGATGGCCTGGACGTGAGTCTGGGCCTTCACGCAGTACTCAGCTCCTGCCTCCATGGTGTCCAGGTGAACCACGGAGCTCACCTCCTTCAGCACCTTCTGCTGCACCTGCCACAGCCCCACAACACAAACATCAGGGCAGGGATCTCCCCTCAGAGAGCTGCCCTGCATTGGTGCCTCAAAGAGCCTGCGAATGAAACAACACACCCTTCTGAGATGGTGTTAGTGCAGGAGGTAACACAAAGGTTGATCTTTATTGGAGGCCTCCAGGGGCAGGTATGGAAAATGTCCACAAACCTCCCCCCACAGGTTGAATACAGAGTTATAACTTCAGTAAATCTGTATAAATATATAAGTACAAAATTATAACTTCAGTAAAGCATCATTGAAAAAAGCACCAATTAAGAGCACAAGTGTTGATGCAACTCCCCCCCTCCACCTCCCCCAAGTTCATGCCCCTTCTAAATCCTCTCCCCTCAGGTGGAACTGAAGTTTACTGGTGAAAATGTGTCTCCAAGAGCTGTTTTTTTGCCTTTGTTTCTAAGAAGAACCAAGGGAGGTTAGATGCTTTGGAATATGGTGGGGAAAATCACTGGGAAAACCAGCTAGGAATGCAATAATGGGCTACAGAGCTCCAAAACTCAGTGTAAAGGATACTGAGATATAGAAAAGTGAAAATGCAAAAAATGATCTGGCATCACCACAATGCTCATCCAGTGAGGAATGGAGGGGGCAGCAGGGAATGTCTGAGCCTGTGTGAGCAGGACAAAAGGAGGATGAAAGCAGCCAGCAAAGCACAGTGGGGTGCAGGATGAGCCCACATACCTCAGGAAGGGCAGGAAGGGCTGAAGGAAGGAGTTGTAAGTCAGAGATTAATGATGATGCTGGGCCACAACCCTAGAGCAGAGCCTGGTGCTGTGCTAGGAGGGAAACGTCTGAGGTCTCAAGTGATCTGAGCTTTATCTGAGTGTGATGGTGATGCTTTTCATGGTGATGGATGCCAAAACATCACTGTGCTGGGATAGGGGTGTGCGAGCTGTGCCATGGAGAGGGGATGGACCAGTTAGTGAGGGGCAGTGAGTTTGGTGTGTGCACCTGAGACACGCTGCAGCAAATTGAAACAGAGTGTGGCCAGCAGTACATTACTTTATTGCCATAAATAGGTTTGCAATCATTGCTGGCAAAATGAATTTGCTGTTTCAGTGTCCCAGCCATGAGAGGATGGCTAACAGCTCCCCAGCTGCTCCTCTTGCTGTGCTGCAGACGCAAACCTGTTCTCACAGAAGGCCTGATCAGCCTCCAGCGCCGCACATATGGAAAACTCCAACGAGCCAGGAGGGCTCTCCAGGCAGGGCAAGCCCTTCCCACCATCAAAATAGCCTTCTCCACAGAAACATGATATGGAGGGCCATTAGTTTGAAAATATTTCATGGAAAAATCATGTCTATGAGTACCTGGGGTGATCTCTTGCAAAAACATCAAATGAGACATGTCAAATGTAAAAATAATAAAAAAAAATAATAAGAGTCCCAGCACAGGACTTGTCTTGACCAGTAAAATTAATGTTTGTGACAATCCAGTTGGTAGAAAGTATTCTGAAATTTTTGGAATTAATGTTGAGGTCATTAAGATCACATAATGAAGAAGATTTAATAAATAATTAAATTAATAAATTTAATTAATAAAAGACAATCAGATGCAAACCTATTGATTGTTTTTAAGGTGTCAGAAAGCCCATGATCTCATTTGGCTGGATCTCACAGTGGGCAGTCCTGCTCCTGCTCCTCTTTATAAGCTAAAGACTTTTGTATGTGTGTAAATTGCTAATTGAGAGTGGCAGGAAGTCATGGAGGGGACTCAGTATTAGCAGAGGTGATCAGGAAGAATAATGAAAACTGATACCTGCTAGTGGTGCTAAAAACCCACTTCACAATAGCAAAGATGACAGACAACAGTGAAGAACAGCAGGAGGATCTGGTAATAAAGCAACAAATGCAATTCAACCCTGAGAAATGTGGAATTATGCTCATGAGAATTCTTCTACATTTTCACATCGTCCTCCATCAGAAACAGGAACCTGGGGTTCAGGTTCCATGGGATTGTTGGCTCTGTAGTGCTCACATTTACAATTGCTGGAGAGACAAGGGAAGACTTGTTTTGTTTTGTGGTGCTAACACAGAGTGTTCCTGCACCTTGGACTCTTCAGGCTTCTCTCTGCCCACACCCTGGCAAAGACAAAAATAGCTGTGAGGGCTTCCACAGGGAACAGCTCAGGAGTCTGGGAGTCCTTGGCCTGGAAAGATACAGAATATGAAGCTAATATAGTGGTAGGGAAAGTGAATGGGGAATAATTTTTCTCTCTCTCATCCCCAAATCAAGGTTGAGACTGCACAAGAGTCAAGGTGCAGAATTGCTCATTGCAGGAAACTGTACAAGCTAGAAGTTTACACAGATTGAAAGCCAGAACAGATAAATTAATGGAACAAAATCCATCAAGGACTACTAATGCTGAAATTTCTGCCTCAGAAAACTGAGGAAAGTTTGTCAGCACCTCACTGTGACACCTTAATCCCAGTCTGAGTAAAACAGATGAAGTTAAGAGGGAGAAGTCAGCACAAACACCTTTGGTTCCTGACTTCTGGTTTCTAGCTACAGTTTGTCACTGTCATATTTTCTGGGAAAATCTCTTTGCCAGGATTTCTCTCCTGGGAGTTGAGAAGCCTCAGAGAAAAAGGAAAACAATAATTATCTGATTTGCTTCTCCTGTGTTTTGCTGCTTTCGACTGTAGTTGAAGATTGTTTATCCATCATGTGAATTGTTTTAACTTAATGACCAATCACTGTCCAGCTGTTGGGACTCTGGAGAGAGTAATGGGTTTTTCATTATTATCTTTTAGCCTTCTGTCTGTGTCTTTTCTCTGTTCTTTAGAATAGTTTTAGTGTAGCATTCTTTAATATAATTAATATATAACTATATATGATATAATTAATATATAATTATAATATAGAATATAATAATTATTAATATAATTAATATATAATTATAATTATAAAATATTTAATATAATATAGATAATAAATTAATAAATTTCCCTTCTAAGAACATGCAGTCAGATTCATCGTTTCCTCCCTTCGACCACAGAAAATACCACAATAGTTGAGGTGTGTTGAGGGGATTCCTTTTCCCAGAGAAGGAGATGTGGAAAGAACAGACAAACTCCTCCATGAGGAACCCACAGCAACCCCTGGTGTGTGCAGGGTGAGGTGGCACCAACCCACTCCAGGCAGGTCCTGCAGCCCCACAGCAGGAACTGGGATGTGCAAAGAGGCTCTGTGGGCATCCCTCAGGGAACTCTCAGTTATTTCCTGCAACCTGAGGGTAAAACTCACCCTGCTCAGTTATTTCTACAATAGGAGGGTTAAACTCACCCTGGTCTCCTGGCCCTTCCTCCAGTAGAGCACCCGGAACTGGAAGGAGGGCCCCATGTCTGCCAGCTCCACCAACAAATGGTGCCCGTCCACCACGGCCCTCAGCTGGGGTGGGGTGAGGGATGCTGCCAACACAGAGAGCACCATTAGCACCCAGAGCCAGCCCTGAGATCCCCTTGTGCCCAGACAGGAGGGACAGAGGCTGCCATCACCTCTGGAACAACATCAACCTGCAGGAGCAGTTTCAGCAGGGCAGGAACCTCTCTGCTCCTCCTCCCTGTGGGTTCAAATGCAGGAGCAGACTTCCAGCAGGAGGAGGAGGAGAATACCATGGCTGGCATTGCAAATGGGAATTTGGCAGCAGCTGAGCTGCACAGAACTTGAAAGGCTTTGAGTTTTCTCCTCCAGCAGTGGAGGAGCTGCCTGGCCTGAGGGTGCCATGAGAGCTGCAGCAGAAGCAGCTGGGCCACCGAGGCTGGGACAGCAGATCAGGGCACCTCTTGTGCTCCTGGGCAGGATCAGCTCTGCCACACTGAACAGGAGCTGGAAAACCACTGCTGTTCATGGGAATTTTGGCAGTTATTCAAAGGTGAAGGAAAAAACATGATGAGCCTCAGGGTAATTCACATGAATCCTGATTTTCTTTTAGTGTCTGCATGGTTTTAGACAGACTTGGGCTGATGATCTGCTGTGACTTCAGGTTTTGGAAATGTATGCAAGTGAATCTTGAGGCAATTTGCTTCCTGCTTACTTTCATATTCAAAGCTTGGTTTTGTCTGGGATTCTGCTGTGAGGAATGTGAGTGAAATAATGAGAATCAATTGAGCAGAGATGAAACTGCACTGTACATTTATGAACTGGGAAGTTCAAGGCAGTACAGAGATCATGTTTGCACTATTTATCTGTGCCATTATTCACACTTATCTATGCCATTTTTTACCCCTCTGCTGTAGCTGAAACACATTTCAACTTCTTTGCTTTCAAGAAAGGAAGGAGAGTGATGCATGGTGCCATATAGAAGAGATGTTCTTAATAGAATTTGCTCTTACATCCAGTGAATTGCCACTAATACTGAGCAATATGAAAACATAAAATCCAAGCATGTACATGATGAGTGTGCCACAAATGGGAGGCCTGGAAATCTACTTTGTACTTTTAAATGAAAAGCTGAAAAAAATTAAAAAAAGTGAAAATCTCCTTAGCACCATATCTCAAAATTAAAAATAAAAAACAAAAAACTGTTATCATTTGGTGGTTAAAAGCAAATATTGTGCTAATGTATAAACAAAAGAACATTGCAAGATGCAGCTGCCAAACAAACAGGAGCATTTCTATCTAGCTCTGTGCTGGCACACTGGATGCCAACTAACTCTGTGAATGATGGGAAATGAAGAAGGAAGACTGACTAAATTGTTTGCTTTAGGAAGATCTTTTCAAAAAGTGTTTTCTATGAGTTATCCTATTCAATGTGCTTCTGCCCCTGTGGCTTTGGCCCGGGGACTGTGCTGCTGCCCTGGCTGCCTATGAGCCCCTGACAGGACCTGTGGGCTGGGTTTGGATCCCTTTGCTCCTCTCAGGCTTCCCAAGAGGTGTGACAGCAGAGCAGGAAAAATGCATAAGGACAAGAACTTGCAGGGACTTTTCTTTCTTTTTTAAGCATCTGTCACATTCACACAGAATCCCAGTGCAAGCTGTGGCCTCTGAAGTGCCACAGCTCAGTCTGAAAGTTGCTTTGGGGTCCCTTAGACACAGGCCCAAGCTGCCAAACACTTCACTGAACCATGAGAAGCTGCTGCTTTTGTTCCTGTCCCAGGGGTGTCCTTGCCCTGTCTCTGCCTGACAGTGCGTCCTGTGCCTCTGTGCCTCCACAGCTGCTGGAAAAGTGAAGGACTTTTTATCTAAAGCACTCTCTAAACTGTGCTTCCACATGAAGAGACACAGTCACCAGCTTAGGTGGCACTTCTGATGGTGCTGCTTTGACCAAGACCTCTGTATGAGAATTGCTTCCTCATGAAGTAGTGAATAACTTCCAAAGTTGGAGGAATTTTTAATATTGGGTCAGTTGTGGTTTAGGACAGAGAATTTCTTGCCTGGCTGAAGCTGATGAATGCTGCCCATGCCAGGCTGAGAGCTGCAGTCCAACAGTGACCTCAGCAGAGCTTTCCCACCACAGTTTTTGTTGACTACATGGCAGAGAACAGAGGAAATGATTCCAGAGAAATCCTGGAAACAGTATGCTCATTTTAATCCTTGGGTTGAGCTGGGCCTCAGGCTTTGCAGGACTTGGAAGGATGTGGAGAAAACATCCTGCATTGCTAGGAGGAAATTAAAGCTGTGGGTCGCAGTTTTCTCTCCTCTTCTGAGGTTACCTTACAGATCTGACACCATGAGAAGAGGGAACCATGGAATAGGGTTTTCAGGACAGCACAAGGCACATGGAGCATGGCAGGGCTGTTTTCTAGAGTAAAAGCTCCCTTAGGATCAAAAGCTCCCTTAGGATCAAAAGCTCCCTTCTGGACCTCTTAGAGGTGAATACATGGCTTTGATTAAATGACAGCAAGCCTGATTGAAAAGAAACCTTTAAATTTAAGGATAAGAATGACCAGCCTGTGGAAGGAAATCCCTGCAGTCATCTTGCTTATCTTTGAAATCCTTGACATTCAATCCCAGATGAATTTGGCTCTGCCTAGGATGAACTCATACCCAAGAACATTGTCTGAGAAAGGAAACCCCCAGCTCAAATGAGAGCAGCTGAGAAGCAGGGTGTGCTCTGTGCATATCTGTGCTCTGCCTGCCATGCACTGGGCACAGAAAGGCACCTGAGAGCACCTCAACACCCAGCTCTGAGCACACCCCAATACCCAGCTCTGAGAATGCAGTCCAGGAGATGTCATTCAAGGGCACAAACAGGCACCTGAGCAGACCCCAACACCCAGCTCTGAGAACACCCTGACACCCAGCTGTGAGCACCTCCAGCTCTAAGCACACCTCAACACGCAGCTGTGAGCACCCCCAGCTCTAAGCACACCTCAACACCCAGCTGTGAGCACACCCAGCTCCGAGCACACAGCCCAGGAGATGCCATTTGAAGGCAGGACGCACTCATGGCGCGGTTGAAGAAGCCTTTGGTGGTGCCCCACTGTGACCTGGTGGCACCGAGCTCTGCCCTGACACGCAGCTTGTAGGCCACGGAGGCTGAGATGTCCTCGGTGAGGTTGCAGATGGTGGCTGTGGTGAGGGAGCATTCCGAGATGGGGATCCAGCTCCCGTTGGCATATTCCCGCTCGTATTCCCTGAGGACGAGAGGAAGCACACAGGCAGCGGTCTGACATGAGCTCCGTCTGTGCAGCCAAAGCTGCTGCTGGGTTCTTTCCAGGTAAAATCTGCACTGGGATGCACTGGGGATGGAGCACCACAGGTGTCTGGAAGCAGTGTGGGTGTGTTTTGGATCTTATCTGGTGAAAATCACCCTGAGCTGGTTCATGAGCCAAATGCAGCATGGTGCTGTGGGAGGTGGGGACAGCCCACACAGTGTTGATGCATCAAGCCCTGCCCACTCATTTGACTTGATCATCCCCTGTGGGGGGACCAGTCCTTGGTTTTTCTGGGTCTGGATTGAAGGCACTTGAGAGAGTAATTTGTGTTCAGACTCAAGTGTTTATTATTTCTTATCAGTAAAACAGTCTTACTGCTGTGAGTTGGGCAGCTTTTCATTAGAAGGCACAAAATGGCCAACAATCTCTTGTTACAAGGTCTTTTAAGACTAAACTATCCAATTAAGAACTGACACCTAGTTATTTTCCCTTTTAACCCAATAACTGATCCTCAAAAACCCACAATGCCAACTTTTCCACCCAATTACAAAATGCCACCCAAACCCATGAAGAAGAAGAAAGAAGAAGCATGAAGAAGAAACCCAGGATGACACCCTGTGCCTTCCATCTTGCTTCCATCCACAACATACTAAAAATCCCAAAATCTAAATTTCTCACCAAGTGATACACTGTTCTCTATAATCTATTTCACACTTTTGTGGATTCCAGTCTATCTTGAAGTCTAAGAAACTTCCTCCATGAATAAAAGTCAAAGTCGGTGCTGCCCTGGGGTTCAGGGCACCCCAGAGCAAACACAGAAATATTCCCAGTGCCCTGGGTTTCCACAATCCCCAATCCCAAAGCCATACTGTAATAAAAGTCAGAGCTCAAGATGTACCAGAAACCTCCTGTAGTGTCAAAACATTTAAAATGTTTACAACAAATAAAGCTTAATGTTTTCTCCTCCCTCTTCTAAATAAAATGTTGCAAAGCTTCTTAACTTTTGAATTCTTGGATAGAGGCAGATTTTTTATATGGAATTGATGCCTTGGATTACTCCAGCATCTATCAACTTGCAAACTGTTCCAGAACTGGAACAAAAGGAATTTTTCCTTTCTCATTAACAGTGCTAAACTTCTCTTAGGCTTGTGAACTGAATATGAACTGGACACCCAAAAATTTAGAACCTAAAGTTGATATGAACAATGGTCAAAAAGCAAAAAGAATAAAAAATTGAGTAGTTACCCTTGAAACTCAACGGAGTATCTCACAGTTTCTCCCTGGACGATCACAGGACTCCAAGTTAAGAAGTGCTTCATGTTGGTTGAAAGAATGGAGATACTCTGAGGTGCTGGCAACAAAGCATCTCCTCCTAAAATCCCAGCAAAAGAAAGGAAAAAAAAAAGAATTTACTGTTGGGGGGGGGGGGGGGGGGGGGAGAAGCTTAGAAGAATAGTGCAAAACACTGTTTTGCATCAGAGATGCACACGCTTCATTTCACTACAGTCACTTCAGCGTTTGAAGTATTTTACAGAGAAGAAGAAAGGATGGAGCAGCTCAGCTAAAAGTGCTCCTTTGCCTTATTTCTGTTTTTCATTGTATCACTAAAACAAATTGACCAAGACCTCTGTGTGAGTGAGGACTACTCCCTCATGAAGTAGTGAATAACTTCCAAAGTTGGAGGAGTTTTTAATATTGGTTCAGTTCTGGTTTAGGACAGAGAATTTCTTGCCTGGCTGAAGCTGATGAATGCTGCCCATGCCAGGCTGAGAGCTGCAGTCCAACAGTGACCTGAGCAGAGCTTTCCCTCCACAGTTTTTGTGGGGGGAGGAGAAGGCCAAGCCCTCCAGTTGGGTTTGATGAAGTCAAATAACAGACTTGGCTCTGCTGCACTCCATAAACTGCTCCAAAGAAACCATGGTTCCAAATGTGCTGCTCCTTTTCAGGCTGGATTTGCTGCTGAGGGAGATCCCAGCTCTGGGACAGCTCCTTTATTGTATTAGCAGGGAATGTCCCAATGAAAGCAGGAATGATGACTCTGACTCCATGTTCTCAGAAGGCTAATTTATTATTTTATAATACTATATAATATTAAAGAATGCTATACTAAACTGTACTAAAGAATACAGAAAGGATACTTGCAGAATGCTAAAAAGATAATAATGGAAACTCCTGACTCTTTCCAGAGTCCCAACACAGTTTGGCCCTGATTAGCCAAAGTGAAAACAGCTCACAGCAGAATGCAATGGAACAATCACCTGTGGGTAAACAATCTCCAAACACATTCCACATGAGCACAACACAGGAGAAGCAAATGAGATAAGAATTGTTTTCCTTTTCTCTGAGGCTTCTCAGCTTCCCAGGAGAAAAATCCTGGCAAAAGGATTTTTCAGAAAATATGACAGTAAGAACTGTGCTATCACAATGTGTTACTTAAAGATTATTTTTTTTATTAAATTTGTCTCACTTAACCAAGTTTGTCATCCAATAGTCTTTAACTGCCACTAAAAAGGGTGTTTTCTTCTGAGCCATGTTTACAAAGTTAACCATTAATTGTCAGTTCTACCCAGGATCAAACCAGGCTGACAAGTCCATGAGCAATGTTTTTTAAAGCATTGGAACAATAGCTGTCTAATTTCCTTTATCATATCTTTATAAAATCACTAATGATGTGGGGAACGGTTATGCCAACTCTCTTATGATTCTTTGGCACAAGTCATACATTATTGACACAATGCTCAGCTGCTCTTTCAAATAAAATTCAGATTTTCTCTGGGATGAGAAATTTTCTCCCTTGTCCTTTAGCACACAGAAGGGTCACTCTCTGCCACATCAGCAGTTCTGGCAGGCTGAGATTCCATACACTCAGAGCACTGTAGTCAAGGCACTTTTAGTATTTAAAAAATGAAAAAAGCAAAGTTTTTAATGACCTTCACACTGCAACAGAATCACAGGATGAACAAAATTGGAAAGCAAAGCATAACCACCCATTTGGTCTCTTGTTCTCTCCATGCTGCTCAACATTCAGATTTCTTGCTACTTTTCCCTGTGTTTGGTTCCCATGTTAATTTTGGTATTTGGCATACCTGAGGGTGTGAATTCCATACCAGATTTCATTTCCATGAACAAACATTGGATCTCCCCAGGACTCAGAGACACAATGGAGCTCCAGGTATGCGCAAGGGTGAGCTGCACTGAAGGTTTTCCTATTTTTTCAACTCTTGGCTTTAGGACATTTTTGATATAAATTTTTTTTGCATTCGATAGTACTAAACCTTATATTATTAAACTATCTAGAAACTGATTTTAAAAGCAGAGAATTCTGAATTGCACTATCAATCCTGTAATGGCCCAAGGGTTATTTCCTGTCTGCTGAGACCAATCTTCATTTCCTGGCTATGCTTGGCTTAGGGCACTTTTTTCTTGTCAAAACCAGTGAGTTTTCTACTGGCAGTGAATTGCCACCTCACTTCAGCTGAACCACAAAAGCTCATACAGAAATTAGGAAAACACGGAAATTATAAAAAGTCCATACAGAAATTCTTTCCTGCTTTCACTAGGAATAACTCTGTATCCAATGACAATATATGTGCAGAGGCACATATAATTTATCTCTATTTTATAGAGATAAAAGCAGTTCACTGATTTCAGTTTCTGTTTGGCATTATATGCTGAAAATTACAGTTTGGAGGAGAGTTCATGCTTTTCCAGAGTACTCTTGATCTAGACATAATCCTGTGTCATAGCCAAGCAAATGATATTCATGGTTTCTCCCACCCATCTGTTGCAACAGCCCACAAAGCAATTGTAACAAACACAAATTTAACAGTGGGAGGAAAGACAATTCTGGGTTATATAAACAGCACTGAGTACAAACAGTGAAGTGTTTGGATGCTGAATTAATCCATCAGCTCTGGTTTGTTCATTTTGAAGGAAAAGGAAACAATGACCATCCAAAGCAGGAGAGAACTGGACAGAGAGCACAGGCAGGACCCAGAGGGCTGAGAGCCCAGGGCTGCCACATTTCCATCTGGTTTTGGATCCACCAGCAGCCTCACAGGAAAAGCCAAACTACACTCATTCAAGCCAGGATTTTGACTCTCACCCTAATGTCTCCAGTCATGCCAAAGAAATGATATTTTCTCTGTAAAGAGCATTTTTGTCTCCTACCCTATCAGCAGTATATTCTATTTAATTTGTTACTCAAAGAATTCATTTCCATTTAGAATGGGATGGCCCTTTTAATTTAGTATTTTTATCCTTTTTGCATTAGAGAATTACAATTAAAAAAAAAAAAAACCATGGTCAAGTCTAGTACATGTGTCTGTCTTACATTTCAGTTTAAATACCTTAAATAAACCTTGATAAAGTTTCTTTTCTCTGGGATATATTTTAATATCCTTGTTGCTCTGTGAATACAGAACAATATAATGTTTCCTCATTACTTGCTGTTACTTCATCACTGCTATCACCACTACTTACTGCTAAGTGTATGTGATCAGTGTAAAAATATTAATACAATTACCTCTTTATTTGTACTAATATCTTCTTTCAGGGGTTCAACAAACACAAGAAGAAACAGCAAGCTCAGACTTGGTGCTGTACAGTGTTCAGGAGTGCTTTACCTGGCAAATCCCTTAAAATTTTATACATAAGGCTGAGAAATCCTTCCTGTTGTGGTAATAAGCATTGGCTTTTTAACTTCCAGTCATTGTATTGTTTAATCTCCTTTTGCTAATCTGGAGAACAACAATGCCACCAGCTTTCTTTTGTCTTGGAGCATGGTCTGACTCTCCATTTGGAGAAATATCAGTCAAGGGGAATCTGACAAGGGAATTCTGAATTCTCAACACTGGTAACAAGAAAATTGTGTCTATAACATCCTGAGAAGAGAAAGGCATTTGTTTTTTGGCTAAATGTTGAAAATGAAACCCACACATCTCTAAGTCCTAGAAATAGCAATTTCCACAAGGAGGATAAATTATGCTAAAATCTCTTTGGCTAGAACCCCAACCTGCAGGCTCTGGGGCCATCCCTCCCTCATCTGCTGATTAACCAAACTCACAGCAAAAGGCAAGACCCTGGAACATCCCCCTTGGCTTTTGGTGTCCCCAGAATCAAACCCCAACTCCTGGGCTGGACAGGAACACAGTGAATGCTGCCCTGGAGTCTGCTCTGCACAGCCACAGGGCAGCTTGGGGCATCAGCATTGCACAAATAAATGTTCTCTGCTCAGAAAGGAGACTGGGATGTGAATTTTTGTATGTCAGGCCGAGGCCATGAGGATGGCAGACAGGGTGTAAGTTATCCCAGCTTCCCTCCCACTCTCTGTCACAGTGTGAGGCTGGCACTCACCACCCACACAGGCAGCAGTGCTCCTGCCTGGAACAGCCTCAGGTAGCCAAGCCTAAGCAAAAATACAGTAAAAACAACCACACATTTCCTTAAAGAACCATTGTCTAGCTCTGTCATCTTATAAAATATAGTTGTCATAATCTTCCCTATTGCACAGAATGAACTTTCCCAGCAGAAACCACTTGATGCTGTCCCTGGTTCTGTCTGAGCATCTAAGAGCTACAAATAGTGAGGCAGCTGTAAAATGATTTTTTTTCTGAGGCAGAAGGAAAAAAATGAAGCACAAGACAACCAGAATGTTGTTGACATAACCTAAAATGGCACATTGAGGAAACGTGGACCAGGGAAAACCCAAGCACACTGGCAAGCCATGTTTGCTTTGTAGAGGACTGAGATTGCAAACACTGGAATGCAGTCAGGAGATTGAGACCAAGCTCCTCTGAGGTGGGTCTGGTGTGGAGCATTTCCTTGGAGAAGCAGATTCCCAGTTGCACAGCCTCCTTCCAGGGTGAAGGAGACCTCAGAGATGTCTCCTTCAAGTCATTCTTCTCCTCAGAGAAGAGTGATTCACTTCAAGTGATTCACTTCTCCTCAGAGAAGTGATTTGAGCTATTAATTAGCACTTTATATCCTTCCTCTCTGACCCTGCATCCCTGTGCTCAGAGTGATCAGCATTGAAAGAATTGAGAGTTCAGCTTCTCACAGAGCAGCAAAAGAGCAGAGACAAATACAGCATTACTTAAATTCCTTCAAACTGAAATTTCCCTCTAGAGTTCAGAAATGACCTTCAGAACAGAATGATATTCATTTTAGAAAAAGAATTAAAATTCAAGATTGCCTGACCTTGTACTTATTTGATTTAAGTGCTGCTGAGGCATCTTGAACAAAGGGAAAGAGGAGTTTGTTACTCACAGCCTCTCTGTCTCCTGACTGGGCCAGTGAAGATCTTTCAGTGATTTACCTGAGAGACTTGGAGCACTCAGAGTGCACAGGAAGAGGCAGATGAGCTCTGGTGCCATTTTGCTCAGGTTTC